GGGGGGGGGGGTGTCCAGGGCATGGAGGTCCCAGGAGCTCCAGAGAGAGCAGGCGTGGTACAGGCACTGGGGAGCCACAGCTGGCTTGAGAACAGGAGGGGAGCAGCCCAGGCTGTTGAGGAGTCAGCTCTGTATGGGTGCCCGGACCAGGGTCACGTCTGCAGATGTTTCCATTGTATGACTGTCACCCAGATGGTGAAATGCCCCAAAGCCACAGGGACCATTTCTGATTTCTGCTTCCTCCCTGTTAGGAGCTGTCAGCCAGGCTGCTGTCTATCCACAGTGACCAGGATCGGATCTTGGTGACCTTCAAGACTTTCGAAGAAATCTGGAAGTTTTCCACCTACCATGCCCTTGGTAAAGCCATGCCCTCCCAGAGCTGGTGATGGGGACACCCCTTGCCAGACGCTTGTCACACACCAAGTGTTTATGTTACAAATCAGGGAACTAGAGTAGGTTAGTGCGCGATGGCCTCTCGGGGAGACTGGAGGAGAGTGTGCTCTCCTGTGCTCAGGTAGGGACGCTGGGGATGGGGGGATGCTCCAGACGCTCCCGGCCTGTGCTGCATGTGTACTGGGCCAAGTTTCCACACTCCCCCCAGCTCTCTACCGCCCAGCTCTGCTGACCAGCCTGACTGGCCAAGCACAGACCAGGAAACATATCTGAACCCCGACCACAGTGCTTGCTTTCTAGAATATTCCTCATTCTATGGGGAGGCATTTGCAGGGTATCCTGGGGACCTTGCTTCACCACCACCCCCCCCCGCTCCAGTCCCCAATCTGAGAGCCGAGGAAGCTTGAAAATAAGAATCAGAGCGACCATTTCCTGAGTCTGTGGGGGGGCAGGGAGGACAGTGTTAGCAGTGCCAGGGCCCCCCCATCCCCAGTGTACATGATCTGGGAATGCGCTCATCCCATCTCATAGAGGAGGAGACTGAGGGTCCTAGAGGAAGGGACTTGTCCTTGTTTAGCCTTCCCAAGGCACCGGAGGTCAAATAAGTTGTCCACAGTCACAGCTGGCCCACCTGCAGTTCAGACAGTCAGGTGGCCTGCCTGGTTTGGGGACAGTACTGTGAGTCCCAAAGGCTGGGCAGGGTGTCCCCCCGAGCCTGTTCAGTGCAGGGCTCGGCCAATACTCTGGGAGCCCACTCGTGACCAGGGCCCGTCTGGTCCCCAGGCTTCACGCACCACTGCCTGGAAAACCTGCTCGTGGACCAGGCCTTCTGGCTGCTTTCACCCAGTGAGGACCAGACGGCCATCCAGGTCCACGTGGACGAAGAGGCCTTGAGGCTGACCCACGAGAGCCTGCTCATCCAGGAAGGTGAGCCCTGCGCAGGTGACAGGGACTTTGTCTGGCTCCTTGCTGTGCTGGGGACTCCTGGGGCCTTGGGCAGCAGGAAGGCTCTGGAGGTGCTGGCATGCGCTCAGAGGCCGGGGGGGATGCGTGGGTCCTGCCTGCAGAGATTGGGGTCGGGGGCTCTTGCAGATGCCACCTGCACACCTGTGTCCTGAGGGGGAATGAGTGGATCCCACCTGCAGAGCTATGGCTGCCTCTGTGTCCCGCCACCCTGAATGACCACCCTCTGTCACTTTGAAGGGCCCTTCTTTGTCCTGTGCCCTGACCACCACGTGAGAGCGACGACTGTCCCCCAGGGTGCAGGGTGGGACCCCCAGCCCCTCAGGCGGGCTTCAGGGACACCCCAAGGAGAAGCAGCTCCGGCCTTGGACTCCTCGGCGCCCAGCCTCAGCTCCTGCTCCGAGGAGGCGGCGGCAGGGGAAGCAGCAGAACCTCTGATCCCGTTTCATCAGTAGGTACCGACCTTTTCTTGTCTGCTTCCTGTCGGGCCTCAGAGACGCCCTGGGCCCTGGGCCATCCGTGGGCAGGGGCGGGGGAAAGCGTGAGCCCAGGCAGACCCCATGCTCCTCCTGCTGCTTCCTGGCTCACTGTGTGACAGATGGCAGGACACTGACAGCCCCCGGCCTGGCCGTCCTGGGACGGGTGCTGATGGAGCCCTGGCTTCATAGCCTGCTTGTTCTGGGAAGCTTCTCAGGGAGCCACCCAACGTGTGCCCGCAGCAGGGAGCACACAAGAATCTGTGCCAATGTTAGCCAGGCAGAGAGGGCCTGGGGGAGACCAAGCTCCTGCTCACATGCTGACTATGGGCCTAAGTTTGGCTGGGAGCTTCCCGGCAGCCAAAGCAAAGAGAGAAAGTTGATCTCCGATGTTTGGTGTCCCTGAAATGACAAGCTGAGGCTCAGCTTCTCACCTGGAAAATAAAGGAAGGTCCCCAGGGACATAAGCCTGAGGAAGGGCTGGGGCACATGAGGCTCCCTGGAGGCAGTGCCCCACCTGGGCCTGAAGGCCACACACCAGGGCAGGGGTGTGTGTGTATGTGTGGTGGGGACAGGAGGTAGGATCTGCATAAGTCAGTGGGAGCTGCTAACTTATCCAGTCTCTGCACAGTTTCAATCCCCCCAAATCTGAAATCCTGCAGCAAAGGCCTCCCTCTCCCCATTCCAGATGGGCTCTCAGGGTCCCCTGGGACCCCTTCGACGACTCTGTGGGTGGACCTGTGGCGCCAGACATTCAGCTGATGGGTAAATGTTTCCACTGGTTTTTCTCCCCCAGGGATCGGGGGGGAGGGGGGTGGTGGTGAGGAAGGGCAGGCACCAGCATTCTAGAAGCTTCTGCACTCACCGGAATGCTCCCCGAGGCAGAAGACACAGCTAGAATTCTCTTTAGTCACACGGCGATAACTGAGACTTGAGGCCTGTCAGCTGGTGCAGACTCACAGCCCATAGCAAAGCCAGCAGGGTCCTGGTCACTGCCCCTCAGTGTGACTNAGGCGATAACTGAGGCCTGAGGCCTGTCAGCTGGTGCAGACTCACAGCCCATAGCAAAGCCAGCAGGGTCCTGGTCACTGCCCCTCAGTGTGACTTCCGCAGACCATTCAGCTGTCTGCAGCCCCACCTCAGACACTTCTGCCCCTGGGATGGGACAGGCTGGGATGGGCTGGGCTGCAGCCGGACTCACCATCGGCACTAACACTGCTAGGCCCCTGGGCTCCTGGACAGCATTTTTGCTCAGCCCCAAGCTGGCTAGTGCTTGGTGGCCTTGTGTCCCTGTTATATGGCCATGAGGCCCCCTGGGATAGGTGAGAAGGACCCCTGTTTGTAGCCGCATGCGTCCTGAGTGGGCCTTGGCCTGGCCTCCCTGGGTGGGATGGAGGCAATGCCCTAGCCTTGGAGGCCAACACCCGGGGGCCAGGTTTATTCAAGTCTCCGGGCCTCAGTTTCTCCCCATCAGCATGGGGACAAAACACCCTCTCTGAGGACCCCATAGATATCCTGCCTCTCACGACTGGTGCCCAACGCCAGGCCGGTGCCACGTGATCCCACAGCGGGGCTGCGTGTCCCTGGCCTAGGGCCCCCCACCGCCCGCCCAGCCCCACTCCCGCTGACCCTGTGCCCTCCTCCTGCAGCCATGGGCCTGGCCTCCGCGCTGGCAGACTACCAGGGCTTGGGGCCCGAGGAGATGACCTTCTGCAGTGGCGACCTCATCGAGATCCTGGGCGCCCGGGTGCCCGGCCTGCCCTGGTTCCTGGGCCAGCACACGTCCTCGGGCCAGGTCGGGTTTGTGCGGACGAGTCTTGTCAGCGTGCAGGGCCACGCGTCTGAGTGAGTGGCTGAGGCCCTGCCCCGCCCTGAGCCCCACCCCTTCACCCGTGGGAACCCTGCTGCTGTCTCCCTGCCTCACAGGTGACAAACCCGGACTTGGTCCTGGACCACGCCTCCCAAGTCTGCACCCAGCTGTGTCACCAGGCCTGGAGCTAGCCCAGGCTGCCATCCCCTGTCCCCAGGGCCCAGCGTCACCTTCCTGTCTGGGCCCCTTCCATCTTCGCTCCCATTGCTGCCAGTGGTCTTTCTCTGAGATGCAATGTTTTCCCTCCGCTTGAGTGTCCTGGGGCTGACATAATCTCAGACTCAGGGAAATGTCACAGCGAGAGCCTGAAGTCCCTGGGCACCCTTCACCCAGATGGCCCAAGCGCCCATGTGATGACATTCGCTGTCCCTTTTCTCTCTACTTCCAGATTTTTCTAAACCCTCTGCAAACATGATGTCCTTTACTCCTAAATCAGTCAGTGTTTCCAAAACCAGGACGTCCTCTCACATAACCACCATCTGACTGTCAAAGCCAGGGAATTACCCCGACACTGCCATCCACAGACCGCATTCGGCTCCGGCCAGTTTCCCACAATGCCCGCTGTAGCTGGAGAAAATTCCAGACCACGGGGTTCATCTTGTCCCCTTCACCTGAATCAGTTACCTGGTCTTCCTTGTCTTTTATGACACCGATTTTTTGACATGTATTTTGTTGAATATCCCACAAGCTACTCTAAGGTTTTCTTTACCTTCTCAAAACAGAGCCCTCTAAGTTCAAAGTACTTTTCAAAGTTTCACATTCTGCAGGTAATTTAGTCCTAAAACGGCCTCCTACTTCCTCCCTCCCTCCATTTCCTCCTGTCTTCCCTCTCCCTGCCCTCACAGAGCACACGCGTGTTTGTGTTGGGTGCTGTGGAAGCACCGTGGGGCTTGTGTGAGCTCAGTGTGTAGAGGGATCAGCTCTACCTGTGCCATCACGGCCGGCTCCCAGGGGGAGGGGTTTTTGGAGTTGGGCTTTGAAGGCTGCCTAAGAGCTCACCTTCCCAGGCTGCCGTGACCTACTGTGTGTGTCACAGCCATTTCTGCTCCCGGGCATCTGCTGCTGGCCAGGCCGGGCTCCCTGGAAGGCAGGGTCTGTTTGGTTTTTGTTTGTCATCCGGGGTCTTCACTGCTGCGCACACAGTAGGTGTGCAGGGACTGCTGTCATGTGAAGGGGTGGAGCGGGTCTTCCCTGTGCGGCGTGTGCTCTGGACACACGCGATCGTGAATGAAGCCTCTCTCTCCAGGTTGGACAGCGTGATTTTTCTCGCTGAGGAAGAGCGGTCCTTCTTCAGCCGGGAGGGCCGCTTCTCCGAGGAGGGCGCCAGGCAGCTGCTCAGGAGGATGTCGGGCGCGGACATCTGCTCGGCCTACAGCCTGGGTAGGTGTGGGTCCGGGGGGCCTGGCCCGACCAGGGTGCCACCTCCTGAAGACGGTGCTGTCCCCACGTCGCCTCGCCCCGTTCTTGGGGTTTTCCTGCGTGCTGCAGTGCAAGGCGTGGATGAAGGAAGTGTGTCACAACCATGAGGACAAACACGACACAGGGGACAAGGCCGGACTCACGGCTTCGTCCCGCGGGATGCATGCCCGCACGTACACATGTACACACAGAGACATGTATACATGTACACACAGAGACACATGCACATGTGCACACCCTTACATGTATACACATATACATATGCACACGCAGACACACAGCCACACCCAAACACACACGTGCACATATAGCTACCCATCCAGGCACGTACACACGCATACACATGCACACACACATGTACACACATCTCAGCCTGCTTGCGAGCACGCGTGGCAGGACCTTTCCCGCCAGCAGCAGGCGAAGCTTCCCAACCACCCAGGCCTGTTTCTCTTCCTAACCAGGTGAACTCGCACTTGGCCTTGGCGTAGCGAGGCCTTAGCCGGCCGGTGTGCGGTTTCTTCCCTTACCCAGGAAGCCCCACTGGGACCCCACTTGGGGGAGGCATCCGGGGCTCGGCCTCTCTCCGCTGGACGCCACGTAGCCTCCCAGGAGCTGTGTCACCACAGCTGACATGGTTTACCCTGTGCATGTCTCTTTACAGCGCTTTCTCATTTGTTTCTATGGCGACCCAGTGAACTGCCAGTGTCGCCCACCCTAAGGCGGTGGGCACCGAGGCTTGGGGAGGCGCTGCCCCTGGGATGAGGGGTCGGAGTCCATGGCATCGAGGGTGGAAGCCGCAGCCCCTCGTGGGGGATGGTGCCCTGCAGGGGAGCGGGGGGGG